TCTTGACAGGAAGAAGAGATCAGTCTCATGACAACTTAGAGCCACTGCTCTGGCTTCTTGTCCCAGACAGAATTGCACACACCACAGGGCCCTGTCCACTCAAGCCATCAAATTCTCATTAAGAAGCAGGTAGCGGCCCAAAACATCTGACAGTGTGCAGTACCAACCTGAAGTGCAGCATGCCCTGGCAGAGCTGGCAGCCTCAGCACTCAAATCACACACTCCACACTGGGAAACAGGTAGCCCAGCAAATGGGCAGAGAGACATGCCAGGGTGACCGATTCCAGGGACAAGAAGAGGCCAATGGTAGAAGCTGTGAATCCTCATCTAGTAAGTATTTCATCAACTTTGCCCACTGAAAGAAAAATAATTGGTCAGAAAGCTGTAATTGTATTATGTTTAATATTCATGCCTGGGCTAGGAGGACTGTTCCAATATTCCCTCTCTACAGCCCTCTCTAATGAAAATCACACCATAGGAGGCGGCTTTAGCTTGCCAATTAAAACAAAAGACACCAGAACCTTCCAAAGACTCCAGCAGAGGAGCATCCATCTGATGGGCAGGAACCTGCTGGAACAGAGAAGGCAGCTCTGGTTGGTCCTGTGCTAAGAGCTTTGAATAACTTATTATAACACTTGCAGAAAGAGCAAATGCAACATTCACGCCCCACACACTGACAGCAGACAGCATACACAAGCATACATACCACAACTTTCTATGTGTTGGGCAAGAAGGAAGCTTGGAGACTCTAATTGGGGGTCACAACTTGGGGCATGCTTCCTAGTGACTTGGACTAAACAGTTTTGTAGGATAACAAGGCAGATTGTGTGGTACAAGGTTGGCCCCTGTTCAAACTCTGGACTGGCAGTTCCATTAGGAAGGACCTTCCTTTGGCTAGATTTCTATCCAGAAAATGCAGGAAAGCAATGAAACACAAGCTTTTTAAATCAGCAAATTAGTCAGGAAAACTAGTATTTTTTAAAAAAAGAACTCAAAACATGGTTCTGTGTGATTTCATGGTGCCCGTGCTGTTGAGGATTATACACAGGTGCACAAGCAGGTTCCACACCTCATCCACACAGCACTGAGGATAGTCTTAGAAGAACGTTCATTTTAAATAGCAACTGGGAAACTTGTATTTTCACGTAGACATGTTTAGTTTTACCCAACTAGGATAAGCTCAGCACTTCTGTGTTTCAAAGCAGTTATCTTTGGGGTGTAGAGTTCTCTGCACATAGAACAGATGTAACAGGCCCTGTGGGATGACCCACTGAACTGTTATGGACCAATGCCTCAGGGGGCTCTGCTAAACCCCAAGCTTCATGACCCATGACAAGCTAGCCTGGGACATGATCTGTGGACAGTGATGGGGACCAAAGCTATAAAGTACATGACCCCAAGTTAGAAGCACTAAGACTTTTAGCTGATATTTTTAAATTTAATATATGAGGGTCAGCGAGACAGCTCAGTGGATAAAGTGTTGGCCACACACAAGCGAGGTGACCTGAGCTCAATCCTGAGAACCATATAAAAGTAGAAAGAGAACTGATGCCAACAGAGTTGTCCTCTGATCTCTGCATGCAGGCTGTGGCATGTGTGTCTCTCCCCACACTTCATACACATACATATAATTAATAAATAAATAAATAAATCCCCACAGCTAGTTTTAGGATGTATTACCTAAGGTTACAGGTGTACTTACACACATGCAGGCAATACAATACACTCATACACATTAAAAATAAAAAAACAGATTTATTTTTGGCTATAAGTAATGTGTGTGCAGGTGCCTGCAGAGTCCAGAAGAGGGTGCTGGATCTCTTGGGGCTGGAGTTATAGGCTGCTGTGAGCTGCCCAACATGAATGCTAGGACCCAAGCTTGGGTCCTTGGCAACAGCAGTACATGCTCTTAACCACTGGGCCATCTCTCCAGCCCTTGTTTTATTTTTTAATATAGAGTCTCACTATATAGCCCAAGCTATCCTGAAACTTGTGCCTCAAGTTCCCACATGCTACAGCACTATACCCAACTCCTATACACATTTCTCACTTTACCTACGATGATACCGCTCAGTAAGCCTGGTGTCTGGGGGTTTATTCTCTACCCTCTAGTACATCTTCATCAAAAAGACGCAGGTATAGATCAGGGGCAGAAAGGAGAATTTAGAATAAACCCTTAATTTAATGGTCAGTTAATGTTCAAGAAAGCTGCTAAAAAAACATTCAGTGGGAGAAAGAATGATTTCTTCAATAAACAGTGCTGGGACAACTGGATGCTATGCAAAAGCTACAAGTGGGACCCCACCTGACACCACACCCAAACCTAAGTCCTTGTGGGCCATATCTTTCAAATATAAGCGCTTAAAGTATAAACTCCAAAGAAAACAAAAATAACTTTGGATTAGGAAATGGTTTATAAGACAGCAATAGCACAGGCAATAAAAGAAAAAAACTAGGTAAATTAAACTGCATCAATATTTAAAACTTGTGCTTTAAAAGATACTGTCAGCCAGGCGTGGTTGCACACGCCTTTAATCCCAGCACTTGGGAGGCAGAGGCAGGCATATCTCTGTGAGTTCAAGGCCAGCCTGGTCTACATAGTGAGTTCCAGGCCAGCTGGGACTACAGGGAGACCCTGTCTCAAAAAGACCAAAAAAAAAAAAAAAAAAAGATACTGTCAACAAGTTGAAAATAACTTACACGATGGGGAAAATATTTGCAAACGGCAGATCTGATGAGGGACCTGCATGAACAATATATGAAAAACCTGCCACAACTCAACAACCAAACCTCAAATAAAAATAGGATTTGGGGATGGACATGGTGGCTTACACCTGTAATCCCAGGACTCGGTAGGCAGAGACAGGAGGACTGCCACAAGTTTGAGATCAGCATGGTCTACACAGCAAGTGCCAGGCCAGCCAGGGCTACAGAGTGAGACCCTATCTCAACTCCCCCCATCTAAAAATAGGATGCAGAAGGACATCTCTGGATGTACAAATGGGCAGTAAGTCATGGGGAGGTACTCGATGCCAGCATAGGGAAATGCAGATTAAGACACAGGAGACATGCTGCAGTCACCAGGCTCAGTACCACCATACTGAGAGCAGCACATGCTGGTGAGGACACAGACACCAAAGCTTCTACAGTGCTGGGTGAAGCAGCCACTTTAGAAAGAGATGACGGTTCCTCAGGTGGTAATGACCCAGAAGCCACCAATCCTACTTCTAGAGAACTAGAAACACAAAAAGTTATACATAAATTACAGTAATGGTTAAAAAGTCAAGAGGTGAAAACAACTCAAATGTCCATTAACTAACGAGCAGATAAACAAAATGTGGTCTATCCAATGACTGATATCACTTGGCTATTCAAAAGGAGTGATGTACTGATCCACATGGTACAACATGGGTTCATCTGGAAAACATTAGGCTGAGTAGAAGAAATGAATCACAAAAAGTCACATATAATCCCATTTATATGAATGTCCAGATAGGTAAACCCATACTGAAAGAAAGAGGATTAGGTTTTGGAGGAAATGGGCAGTGATTACTAATGGGTTTCTATCTGGGGCAACATGTCCTAAAATCGACTCTGGTGATAGCTGAATAACCCACTAAAACTACTAGATTGTACAATTTAAATTGATGGGTTACATGGTATATGAATTCTATCTCAATAAAGCTGTTAAATAAAAAATAAGCTTGGGCTAGGGAGATGTCTCAGTGTGTAAAATACTTGCTACACAAGAGTGAGGACCTGACTTTGCATGCCCAGAATCCACGTAAAACTGGACAAGGCAGGGCACGTCTGTAATCCCAGTGCTCCTACGGAGATACCTCTATCTCTGCTTCTCTCCCCATCTCCCCAAGTTACAGATGAGATGACCATGCCTGGCATTTACACGGGTCCTGGGGATACAAATTTAGGTCCTCATGTTTACCCAGTTATCACTTTATTGACTAAGCTTTCTCTCCAGCCCCTCAAGCCTGGGCACACTGAGCTCAGAGCTCCAGTCACAAGCCCCAGGTCTGAGTCATTTGAGGAGGGTTCCAAGATACAGGGACCTAGTATGTCTTCTCCACAAAGCATATTCATGCTGTCTTTGTGCCCTAAGGGGGAATGAGAGGCTAACGGGGTGAAGTTCAGGAACTGGAAATATTATTTGATCAAATAATTATTTTTCAAGCTGCTACTCTGGTGGTACAGAGGTCTGAGATTTGGCATCAGAAGGAACATCAGCCTCATGAGATGATACCCACTGTCGAGCAGCCCAGCACCTGCAGCCCGAGGCAGAACCCAGCAGCCCTGGTCTCTGGCCACTCTACCTCTCTTTGGGACACTGAATCAGACACAGCAGGTAGCCAGCTAAAAAACCAAGAATGCAAAGGAAAAGACAAGACAGGAAGAGAGTGTGGGGTGGGGGTGGGGGAACAAACCTAAAATTTGGACTTGAAGGGTCTTTTCAAACACTTTAATCCTGGAGCGCCCATGGCTGGCACTGGCCCCTGTATCAGCAAAACTGATTCCCTCAGCCAATATGTTAAAGAGAAGGCCGCTAATCAGCTAAATAGAAATTGGAACCTGTTCCCATCAAGTCTCTCTCCCCATCACCAGAGGGACACCACAGTGCTCTGAAACACACTCTTGACATCATTTGGCAGGCAACCTATTTTGCTGAACATGATTCATCCCTTAGGTTATTGTTTTTAATATTGGAAAGTGAGCTTTTAAATGCCAAACAAATTTTGCAGCAGGGGAACAAAAGATATTCCAAGTGGTCTCACTGGACCTTTCTCCAACTGAGTCCACCAACTGGCTGAAAAGAAACCTGCCCTGTGGAGCTTCAGAGGCAAAGCAGAAGGGTAGCAGATCCAACTATTACCTAATATGAAATGGCTCTCCAAGTTCAGAGGGCTGGGCTGAGGCAGCTGAGCAGGGCTGTAGCCCAAGACACAGAGGTTCAGAGTCACAGGGCAGTTGCTTCAGTCCAGACCTACCTCCTGTCCATGTTGCCGCTGACCATGAGGTTTGGAGGGCTGTCTCGCAGGTTGACACAGGTGAAGTCACCGAGCACGTTCCCCAGCTTCGAGAGGCAACGCTCTGCTTCCAGGCTGTACACCAGGATCTAAGAGAGGAAGACAACAAGTGTGTCAGTCCCATCCATCAGGGGAACATTACACACTACCCACTGCACCACCATCCAGGGGTGAGAGTTCCACTGTGCCCCGGGGCAGATATTCTGCTGTTAATGGCTTGGACACTTCCAGGTCACTGGTAGTTGAGGGAAGTGGCCATTAATGTGACAAAGACAAAGAGGGAAAAAACAAAGAACTCCTTGGCCAAGGTACAAGCAAATGTACGAGACACAAAGGAAATGTGGACTAGACAGCCGAGGCAGCTGGGGAGCAAACCCAGGTCCTCACACACGCTGGGCAGGTGCTCCATCACACAGCTTCACTAAAGCCTGGCCCAGTTCCCAATTTTTTTTCCACTGAAAAGGAGGAATGAAAACTAGGAGTCGCTGACTTCTGATTTGGGGTGGACAGAAATGCTAACAAGGGCCTCAGGAAGTTGCATTTGACCCAGCATGGGCTCTCCTGGCATCTTTACCCAGGAAAGGTGAAAGGCTGAGTGCTACAAGCTACACACTAACCATCAGACACCCCTTTCTGCAGAGCTACAGACTCAAGCAGGTGTTCTTCTCCTACTCCCCCTCCTCATTTGGGAAGATCTGCTGCTAAGGCGGGAAAGTCGATGAGCAAATGAATGTCTCTGCATCCCGACAGTTGTCCTCTTAGAACACTTCTGTGCCTCTTCTCCAGCAAAGGGGGGAATAAAGAAAGGGTGGTTCAGACAAATGCTGTCTGAAAATTAATTCTTTAACTGAAAAAACTACTAGTTCAATTCAACTCGATTTAATGAACATCACATAGGCCTCACACAGTCCTTGCCTCCAATCACTAAACTCACAAGTTTTAATGTTAGTATTTTGAAGAAGGTTCTCTGTTTAGCTCCTGTGGAGACTGCTTTCTACTCTGGTTAACCTACACATTCATCACTTATGAGTGTAGATTCTTATGTCGGTCCTGAGAAATTAATAACACATTAAATCATCTCCACCTTGGGAACCATCAATCTCACTGTCAGCACACATTTCTAACAAGTGAATCTTTGAGGATTCCTGGCAGTCAAAACACTACCATCACAGTAATTAACAATTGCCAACAGCATCTGGAAGGACAGACAACTTCAGAATTCAAAAAGCCTTCTTAATCTATAAAGACTACAGAGACTAGGCTAAGATGTAGCTAAGAAGAAAAGTTCCTGACAGAAAACATTAACAATTCTAAAATAACTAAAACAGCATTATTCTTCTCATACAGAAACAATCAAATCTTCATTTTGGCAAATAACCTAAAAATTATATATAGTCAGCTTCTGGAAAGAGAAAAAATTAAAAACAGCAATCTGATGCTGTATTTCAAAATGGCCGACAGAGACTATCTGAGATGGCAAAGGTGTCAGTCACCCTGCCTGTTTGTGTACAGAAAGGCCACTGAGCCCACAGATATGGACAGCTACTATGGGACCATTAAAAGATCTACTAATTTTCAAAAAGTAATTATTTTGGACCTAATTCTCAATATAGAGCTTTCAATATTTTGGGTTTGATTTTTAAAAAAAAATTTTTAATTTTATGTGTGTGAATGTATTATCTGTATGTGTGTAAGTGTGCCCATGGAAGTCAGAAGAAGGCATCAGATTCCCTGGAACTGGAGCTATGGACGGTGGGTGCTGGGAACTGAACCCCGGTCCTCTGTAAGAGCAGTCAGTGCTCTTAACAGCTGAGTCATCTAGCTTTTTTTAAAATTCATCAGCCTGTGTAGCAGGAAGTAGGCACAGTGATCATGATAAACATAAGAACTGAAATCTGCCACCAAGCCAGCATGTTTCTATTTTTTTCTAGAGTTCTTTTTTGACCAGTGGATGAACTGTCTGTCCTTGAGTGATATAGGGAGATCTAAACCCCTTCAAAAAAGCTCCGAAATTCATCACAAAGACATCTAAGCCAGCAGTCAAGAGTCAAGGAATTCTAAATGTTCAATAATTCAATGGATCAGAACTATCCAAAGAGAACCTTTACCATGGCGTTTAGTTAAAAGACCACAGAGATTAGAAAACACATTACCTCTCCAAGGCAAGTCTTCCACACTACAAGTCCCTTAACGACTTTCCCCATGGCCCCCTCCCTCCTGCACTCTCTCTCTTTTAATAAGGTCGAGCAAATGGGACTTCATTTTATCTGATTGCCACAGACTGGTGAGATTAATTATTCATGCTCACACTCTCCCTCTTGTTAAGACCATGCATTAGACTAATTTTTCTCTTTATTGCCCTAGTAGGGCGAGTCTTAACCCACAACCACTTGACTCATTCTCAGTGGTGTTTGGAGATGCTGGAGAGAAGGGAAAACTCCCCACAGCTGCAATCTGGGAGAAGATGCTCTGTAATAATGCAACCACTGAGTCGATAGAGCAGCTAAGCATCAAATGCTTTGGGGGAGTAAGAGCAGTGACCACAGAGCAGGCCTGTGCTAGCTCTGGGTGTTTCTGTAAGAACCACTCTTTAACATCCAGGAGGATGCAGTATGCCACCCAGGACATTGGGTGGTTTCCCTTCTCTTTGTCTTCTAAGCAGATCTAGACGATGTGTGAATAAAAGCGATGTCTGTATAGGGACTTCAGTAGAAAGTTCTCCATTTCTGGCTATTCCCCGCTTAGAGATATTAAATTATTCTGATAAAACATAGCCTTAGAATATTAGCTATAAATTTTAATTATTCTGATTTCTGTAAAGTCTATTTCTAAAGATAACTTTATTTCACATATACTATATCTCGTAATAAACTATAACATAATAAAATTATGTAACCAAAGGCAGTGGTAGCTCACTGTACATCCATCTCTTAGGAATTAACCACTTTTAACAGTTTTCTATACACACTTCCAGATTTTTTTAATGTGAATGTATGTCTCTCTTGTAATACACGTGCAAAGATTTTTTTTTTCTTGCATGAGATTATTGTTTTACAACTTGGTTTTCCACTATAGTTGGACCTAGTTCTTTTGAATGGCTACAAAGAATTTCTGGACATACACAATTCCATACTGATAAATAATATTTGAGCTGTTTCTAATTTTTTTTAGATAAAATGGACAATACTATGGTTCATTCAATAGCCGGATGACAAACATTTATGCACCCTCTTCTGTGCAGCAGGCACCAGAGTGAACTGAGGTGGCAGCTGATATGCTGCCAGCTACGAGTCAAGTCTGGGCCAGCTGCTGCTGGCCCAGCTGTCCCACTCTTCCACATGTGGGATCCGCCTCTGTGGGGACCACAGAGCCATCACATAGCTGTGTCCTAGCAGCTGGTATCTCTACAGGAGGGTAGTATTGAGTCAGGAGGGAGAGGACCACAGGTTCAACATCTGGAAAGTGTCAGCAGCTGCTCTGGGCAGGGAGGCCTACATCTTCCCCATGTGACCAGGAATGCTCAGGGTGCCTAGATACTATGGCTTTCTAGCCAAACCATAATGGAAAGGGTGGGAAATGGCTGCTGCCCTCACAGTGGAGTGAACTCAAGGCATGCCACTTCCTCCTTCACCCTGAAAAAAGGTGTGAGCACAGCAAGTTTTCCCTCAATCTGGGATTGACATCACTCCATCAGCAAACACGATGTGCACAGAAAATGCTTTGAAGACATGATAGCCTTGCCAACCTAATATTGTGCTCATGTTCTGATGAACAAGAAAAGAAGCCATGAATGTTTTAAGTTTGCCAAAATAGCGAAAAGCACTACGCCAACATTACCATCAGCACTAGGTAGTTAGCTTACCTCCTCAGAACCCCAGGACCACCTTGCCAATGAGGTAAAGGAGTGGGTGGAAGGCCTCCTCTCAAGACTATAGCATTTTAAGAGTTTTGTGAGCCAAAGACTATTTGCCTGCCATCATTTAAAAAGGGATGTGACAAAGAGAGCCCGTGATTAGGAGATGCTAAACTGGGCTGGAGCAAAGAAGTCTAAAGGCACAGAAGATAGGCTTGACCCAAAGTCTCAGGGACTACAAAAAAGGCGCCTTCCCTCCTTCCTTCCTTCTTCCTGAGGGCCTCTCTTACCACTACCACATTCATTTTGCTCTTCTGAGGGGAGAAGTCATGATCAGAAGCCAATTCTGGAGCACAGAGCAATGAAGCCTCACCTTCTTTCCCCACCCACTCAAGTGTGCCCTGCTCTCTTCACCACCATCCTCGGCACACAGAGTTCACCCCTCTCAGCAAAGCAGGAGATATTTACTGTCAACCTGCTTCATCTGCAGTTCCCAAGTGCCATCTGGAACTGCGGGTTATCTTCCTCCAACTCTCCCAGGCTTGTAGCTTTCCAACACTGAAGGTTAGATAGTTCTGGAGCAGACTGATCTTAGCAGGTCAGATGTGGCTTTGTTACAAAACACTAAAGAATGGGAAATGACCCCTCACACCCATGCTGCGAGCTCCTTGGAGCAGAAATGCTGTTACTCATTCATTCACGCATGCATACATGCATGCATGCAGTACCTAGTAAAGGACTCAGCATGTGCCAGAGACTGTGAGATTCTTTGAATCTCACTAGACACATGCACTTGTGTTTGGCAATAACCGATTGGGACTAGGAACCGAGCAAGCCCAGAATTTACTCCAATTTGGGACCTAATAGATTTTCTATTTCCTTTATTGCTTAACGCCTCCTCTACTCCTAGATGTATGATCCTGTGGCTAACTTTGCAAAGGAGCTTCATCATGCCCCAGGCAGAGTGGCTTTCTGCAGATGTGTTTATAGCATCTACATTCTGGGGCCTCAACCTGTATATCCAACCCTGTAGTCCCCTTGCTGACAAGATGACTGTCCAGTGCGCCTGGAAGACAACTTTTTAAAAGGTGATTCAGTCTGTTCTCAAACAGTCCTTCCAATATTCTGTTCAACTCACAGGAGCCCAAAGTGATGGGGGCCACTAAAACCAGAAAAGAAGAGGGTGCCAAGCCAGGGGTTGTTCTGGAGACACCTGCCAATGCCAGGAGCCTATGG